ACGCGCGGGGCATCATCTAGTGGTTGTAAAGCCTAAATGCCCAGGCGTGTACGTATAGCCCACCTAACGCAGTCCCAGAGAAATTTAGTTCGTGATCAGTTGGTGCGTCGTTCGTCCAGTGCATGTCCTAATCGCGCCACAGTATGTACACCGCATCTCGAAAATACAAATTGAACAAAGCATAACATATGTAGTCGTGGTTTGATTTGGACTCCCTCATTCTTGTTTAAGCTCTGCACCGTCCGTTCGGTCGTATGGCTGCCTCCGAGTACGGTACGAATACCGCAGCCTGTTCCCGTTGGGGGCCGGTGGTCTACTCCGTCGAGCCATTTTTATTGAGGGCAGCTGAGCCTCGCTTGTATCGAGACAGGGGGAAAGATTTTCGGATCTTAGGGGTGCGTGAGAGAGTCAAGATCAACGCTGCTGGCTTTGCATTTTGTTAGACGACGACGTTCCGAGCGGTCGTCGTCGTCGTTGTTTCTACTACTTATTTCATAACCGGCCTTCACTGACCCGATCGTTCGTTGGCTTCTAACCACCGTCCACCGCATAAGAGTCAAGAGAAATCTCTCCATGCATTTGTAATCATGCATGGCAATCTTACCAAGCAATCTAGCTGGCTCTCTTGCCGTGTGTGGTTTGATGGTTCATACTTCATACAGACATGGAGTCTGTCTGTTCTCTAATCTCTGGCATGTAGCGCTGTGTGCCCGGCTCTTTCAGAGATGGTATACATGCATTCAGTTCTACTTCTACCACTGGTGATTAAAGCTTACCTAATTAGGGTTACTTCTGAAAATATCTAGCTAGATTAATTGATGCCTTCAAGTCACGTGGAGCCAGCTAATTATAACCTAGCACATTATTTTCAGGGAATATTGTACTATTTTTAAGTCGCCAAAAATATATAATACTACGCTGCAGTCTGCACTCACAAAGTTTTAAAACTACAATGCGCGCACCTCCCCTCTAAGTAATATACTCCCTCCATTTCTAAATATAAGCCCTTTTAGAGATTTCAATACGAACTACATATAGAGCAAAATGAATGAATATACACAATCTAAAATATGTATGTATACATTTATATGTAGTCCATGTTGAAATTTCTAAAAAGGCTTATATTTAGAAAGGAAGAGAGTAACAAATAAGAGAGTAAAAATGGTTAGTCTCACTGCCTGTGACGGGCGAACTAATGCAAAACGCCATTCAGCACGTAGGACGTACGACAAGACACGTCCTCTCTGAAAGAAACAGTGAAGCAATCATGCATAGAGTGCAACCTATATGTTTCCCCGGCGAAATTTGTTGTAGCTAATTAAACCTCCTGTTGTTTATTCAGTCGCGAACGTATGACACGTTTCCATTACAAACAAACTTCGGACAACAAGACAAAGAACGAACAACCCAGCGTACACGCGTTGTTGAAATGACGTACATATTGGTCCGTAGATAACTAAGAATAGTCTCGAGGACATGAGTTCGTCTTGTCACAACAACGATGCTGCAACAGCCAGGGGTTGGTCGAATTGACATTCATTTTGACCGGCATTTCATATATAGCGTATAGGTAGTAGTAGGAGAGAGGTAGTGGAGTATAAATTAAGTCTTCTATAGGTGCCCCTCACTTCTCTTTGGATGTATATAGTTAGGTTTCCATTTGTTTTAAGGAAACGTTATATTTTTATTTGCTCAACAATTGCCCAAGTCAACAAGTTAAGTTGTATTTTTTTCCGGGGGAACAAGTTAGGTTGTACTCCCTCCGTTCCTAAATATTTGTCTTTTTGGAGATTTCTAATGGACTATCACATATGAATGTATATAGACATATTTTAGAGTATAGATGCATTCATTTTGCTCCGTATGTAGTCACTTGTTGAAATCGCTAGAAAGACAAATATTTAAGAACGGAAGGAGTAATATGGTCAGGATTCCCACCCGTAGTCGCTGCTGCCAAAGCTTTCCTACACGTTGTTGTGTCGGTCCCCTTCCACTTCTCCGTCCGGCAGCCATGTCGGTGGCAAGAGGAGTGGGGACCCGTTCGTCTCATGTTTCCGCCCTTAGCCTTTTGTTTCATTGGTGACATCGATGAGGTGGAGGCAGCGATGGTGTTTTGCGGTAAGGTTTCTTCGGTCATTTCCTACCTCGGCGACGTTCGATCCAGCACCGATGAAGGGCCTCTGAGAGTTTATGTCCTCAGATATGTTGGCTCCCTTCAAATCTTGGCAGTTGGTGTGTCTTTGGTGATGACTAATGGCGCGGCGACTATAACATCTTCTTCATGTTGTTCTGTGCTTTGGTCCGGTTTCTCAAACCCTCTGAACTGATGGTGAGGACACTTGCAGATGTCCCTTCCCTTTACTATTAGATCATTGTGATTTTGAATCTCCAATGAGCGGCGTACAATTGAATGATGAAGAAGGCTAATATGATTTTTTTAATGCAAATTTTTTTTACCGGTCGTTCTGCGTCCAGTTGCCTGTCAATTGTACTGGCTATTGTTTTCCTTGATATTTATCAGATCTAAGATGCTCATTGGGTGTATTTTCTTAAAAAAAGAAGAAGTTAGGTTGTCCAATACTAAAAAAAGTTTTATAATCATACTTTAGTTTCTAAGATAACCATGTGTATCATTAATCACAAATGGTGTGAATATAATGCGCACATGTGGAACTGACGAGAAGGATGATAAATATGTCCATAGAACTTTGCAGAAACCCCTCCAAGATAAAAAGGGAGAAGGGAGTACGGAGGTAATCATGAAAGTGTCATCGCCGCCACTAACCTTCGTCGGATTCAGAGGAGAGCTATATCCCAAAAGGGTGTTTTGAGTTGAGAAAAAAGCCCGTCATCGGCAAGGTCTTTGTCAATGTGGAGCGTCGAATGGGGATCATTCGACACTCCTCGTGTCCTGGAGGCCAGAGCCACCTTCAACCGTGAATTTCGAGCGCCATCCGCCGCCGTCAATCCTCAAGCAAGGATTTGGAACCGCTGTCCCCTCTCTCGCCCACTTGTGGCACTACAAGACGACAACAACCAGTTAGCCGGACCTAAAACCTCCGACCAGAAGGGTTGATGGGAGACCAAGCCCACCGGGTCTGACGCTGCCATCAATGCCATCAAGACGGGACAGGAGCCCGATAATTATTCTTGTATGTGTCGCCGTTATCACCACCAGAAGCAACGCCGTCTCACAGACGAGGCCTGCCCTATCTATAGGTCGGAGCCGAACTGTTGGGGTCCACAACCCGTTTAGTCATTAGAGAAGGAAATGGAGGAGGAAGGGGCTCGTGGCATCAACAACAGAGGAAGGGAGTGACGGTTTGTCTTCCAAGCCGCCTCATACCATTGGGAACGAAGGGAATTGTGCACATCAATTACTGCGATAAGTATATTTTGGTTACAATGTTCCTTTGTTGAGCGAACGTCACAACAAGTTTGGTTCCATGGTTCATGATGTAAGGTTATAGGTGTGAGGTGCTGAAAAATCTAACACTTAAGCAACGACCACGAACGTGGGACAAATACAGAAGAATCAAACATAAGAACATCGACGATGAATGTAGGACAAGAGAGAAGGCTGTTGAGCATAGATTGGTCATTTGGGTATCGAGGCAAGTGTGTTGGGCCATGATAACTCCTCAATCTTTTGTGGTGGATGGAGGAGGACTAGAGACGATCGAAAGGTGTGGCACGGTGAGGATGTGCTAATTCTTGGATAATGTAGTTCTCCCTCCTTTCCAATTTAAAAGGCTCACATGTATCCTTAGATCCACAATTCAACCAATATAATACAAATTGTATGTCATCACAGCTATACGGTTAGAAACATTTTTAACGGTATAGTTTTTGTGATATATAACTCCTCCTATGTTGACCAATATATCAATCTAGGGGGAGGTGGCGTTTTGCTCCCTTGTGAACAGTTACTCAAAATATGCAGTAAAATATAAAAAAAATAAGATTTTTTTGTGGATGTTCGTGTTAGTGTCGCAACAATGGTTGAAATTTTCATGCAGAAACGAAGCAGTAGTTTTTCTTTGGTGAAAAAATGGGGGTCACATTTGATGTTTAATTTGTTTTTTCTTTTGCACAGGCCAAAATGTTTTACCTTTTTGCCTAAAACTTTGCAGGTAGCATTTGGATGTGACTATGAATACATAAAAAAGTTGTTGTGATTTTTGTAACAATTCAAAAATTATTTTTGCACGCAGGAGCACGTGCTCCCGAGAGCCGAAATGGATTTCCGTACACATGGCCTTTTTAAACCGAAAATGAAGTAGTATGTCATTGGGAGGTGCCATTGAGATGAACAAAAAATAGAGCCTCTATGCTTGTATAAAGAACACGGTCGCAATGGCATGCCCACTTGAATCCGCTGTAATTGAATCTGTACCCATATTTGCTCAATTGGACGGGAAAAAACATTTTAGCTAGGTTTTGAATAGAAATGGGGTTTTATTCAAAATGCAGTGCAAAAGAGTCACTGGGACTTCATTCTAAACATTGATCAACAGAATATGAATATTTTGAAGTGTCAACCTCCAACCCAACAGACGCAACCTGGTCAAAATCACAGTTTAGACCGCGAAACCAGCGGCTATAAAACCATCACTCCCATGTCAAACCTCGTTCAGTTCTCTCTCTCGCCTCAGTTCGTTCCCACCATTTCCATCGCCTCGCACACCCAGCAGGCACCAAACCCACGCGCCGGCGGGATGGCGTCGTCCGCCTCCGCGGCGGCTCGGCTGCGGGAGCTAGCGCCCGGGCCGGGTGTGGCGATCTCAGCAGCGGAAGCGGCCGCCCTCGCCGAGTGCTGCGCGGGCCTCCTCGGCTGCGGAGACGCCGGGGCCGCGTGCTCGGCGCTCGACGCGCTGTGCGCCGCCGGAGGGGACGCGATGCGGCGCCACGTCGACGAGCTCACGCCGCTGGTCGTCGGGCGGCTTGGGGACGGCGACGCGGCCGTGCGGGAGGCCTCCAGGAGGTTCCTCGTGCTGCTCATGGAGGTATTGGCCTATCGGGGTTCTGATTTCCATTCCTTCTCCTCCAGGGTTTAGCTCTTGTCGCCGTGTTATTGCACGATTATTATCGGGGTATTTCGCGTCAGTAGTAGTTGAGTTTCAGGCTTTCAGCTAATTTAAAAGGAGCACACATGGATGTGGGGCCATATGTAGCTCGAGTACTTAATTAACATATCTCCAATCAAAGGTCTGGGCCAAATGCCTGCATAATTGAATAAAAGAATACTTATCCAATTTATCCCAATTTTATAGAAAGCTGTGTGTGGTTCCGAGACTAATTAGATGCGGAGTCGGAAGCAATATCACTTATACTATAATAACTTCAAAACAAAAAACCTGACTAGTTTGCTTGTGATGTTGCAGATGAAGGAGATGAATGCAAGGTCAGAAAATATAGAAACAGGTTCTAGCATACCAGATGTCCACCGCACTAGTTGTACAACAACCGAAGCTGAATCTTCTGGTACCAATCAAGTAAAGAAAAGTTCGAAACAAAGGATCAGCACAAGAGATATGTCCCTTCTAGCAGGTATAGACTTTACTTCTCGTCAAGCACCCAATTAACCAGGTCCAGAATTGTAGAGCGTGTATATAGTAGGATTACTGTGTTTTTATCCAACAAGAACCTTTCATACCAAACCCATTATAAAAAACTAAAACATGCTTATTTTGTTAAACATTATACTATGTAATTTACCATTTCCGTAATAATTTAACCTACATAATTCGATACCACTGAGGTAGATAACAAAAGTGGTCATGACATCATATTTGAATCAGAGACTGTTTCTGAAGAGATGCCTCAGTTTATAATGAAGTATGTTATGGAATAATCTACAATGAAGTTTAATGTTAAGGCCGGTTGACCATCTGTCTATTCATACCGGTTGACCATTGTATGATACTTACTGGCCAATGCTCATAGATCTGTATTCGCAGCGGGTCAACCTGATTACTATACTACTACAACAAATAACTAACATCCAACTAACTGGCAGTACTCAGTAGCAAGCAATGTTGGTATTGGAAATTTTAAGGCCAAGAATATGATGTTTGATGACTTATTGTTCGTTAATTATGAATGTCTTTCCTCTTGTGCTATGCTTTGTTTACACTATTTTTAATCTTACGGTATCTATATCTTATGGTATTTGATCTATCCATCGTACTCTATGCAGGGGAAGAAGATATTACAAGGAAATCAGTTGAACCTATAAAAGTATTCTCTGAAAAAGATCTGATAAAGGAAATGGGAAAAGTAATGTCTACTTTACAGCCAGATAATGAGTGGTCAATCCGGATAACTGCGATGCAAAGAGTTGAAGGCATAGTTCTTGGAGGTGCTAATTCCTTCTTGTTTATGTTGGCTTCACTGTGCACATTAGACAGTTAACTTTCTGAAGTAAGCCAAATCTTCTGAGGGCATTTCTTTTGCCTCTATTACAGGTGCCGCGGATTATTCAGCCTTCCCCACGCTTCTAAAGCAACTCGTGGCCCCTCTTATAACCCAGCTTCTGGACAGGAGATCTAGTGTTGTAAAGCAGGTTTGACTTATTTCACTATTCTGTTGAAGTGAATGCAACAAGTGTGTACTGCAGATCAAACATAGTTGCCACAAAATTAGCAGAGCAAACAGTAAAGTAGTGTGACAAAAAAGGATATATTATGTGTAATCATCTAGCTTCTATGCCCTTATGAGCTATGGAACTCGTCACATTTTGTACCATTTGTTTGCACACCCACTGAAGCACTTATTTTTGATATTTCTAGGCATGCCATTTGCTAATTTTCCTATCAAAGGAGCTACTGCGTGACTTCGAACCATGTGCTGAATTGCTTATTCCGGTATGTTGTTGTTGATTTCTTTTAGTTTGTGCATCCTATATCTATGACTATCTTGTTGTATCTGAAGAGACCACGTTGCCATCTGATATCTCTAGGCCCTTCTTAAGAATGTCGTGATCACCGTTCTTGTAATTGCCGAGTCTGCTGATAATTGTATAAAAGAGGTACATACAGTCATACACAAGTGTTTTTTTACATTTGATTGTAACATGCTTGATGTACAATGTTGTCTGTACGACTCTACAGATGCTACGAAACTGCAAAGTAGCTCGCATTCTACCAAGAATTATTGAATTCGCAAAAAATGACAGAAGCGCAGTTCTTCGTGGCAGGTAACAGAAAGGCACCAAGACGGGTGATATACATTGATCTTGGATGAATGCTTAAGAATGTGTTGCTGTTGTAGGTGTTGTGAGTATGCAATACTGATGCTAGAGTATTGGGTTGATACTCCCGAACTACAGAGATCAGCGAATCTGTATGAAGAACTCATAAAGTGTTGCATAGGAGATGCAACTAGTGAGGTATTTGCATGTCTTCAACTCTCCATTCATATTTATTTATTGAGGAGTGTGAAATGAAATTTAAATTTCTTTCTTATCTTTGCCTTTTAATTGTTTCCTGGCAATGTATCTAGGACAAGTTTGACACTGGCTACAAGCAAATCTTTTGCCAATAATTTTTGGTTACCTAGTTGAATAATTTTTTGTGTTAGTTACCCTTAGTATCATCAGTTCTGCCCTTAGTAGCTTTGATATTATATGTAGAAAACATGCACTTGCTGAAATGAAAAAAAGAAAAATAAAATAAAAGAAAAGTAATTATAGACAACCCCCATCAGTACTCCGTTTTAGCCACTTCACCCCCAAATTTCAAAAATCAGGATCTAAAACCCCTCAACTATCACTCCACAGTAGGGGTCTAGCGCGCGCGCGCCCGGGGGCCGTGAGGTGCTTCGGGGAAAAATGCTTGTCGGGCTCTTGCCGGCCATCAGTGATGGCGTCTGTGGACGTCGGCTTACTTCCTTGGAGATGTCGGTGTGGAAACGATCCCCTACACACCCCTAGATCTAGTTCTTTGGGTAAAAAAAGGCCCAGCTGGGCGTCGGCGTCGGCGTCGGCATCGTCGGTTCTCCCTTTGGGCGTCGTCTTGAAGACCTAGTGATCTCGTTTGCTCCCTTTTTGGCAACGATCATGATGGCCAGCGGTGAAAGGCTGCGGCAGTGCTTCGGCTGTCGGTTCTTTCTCGACGTGCTCGATAGGTATCTTCTGGGTCTCACCATGTCATCGCGGAGTCCGAGGAGATGCCTAGGCGGTTACGACATGTTAGCCTAATACTCCTCGACCATCTCTCCTCTCCCTCTGCCACGGCGCGCCGAGCCAAGGCATGGACCTCGCCGTCGAGCTTCCTCTGGGCGCACTTCCCGCGCTGCAGCGCCACATCGACCCCTCCCTCTACGACGAGGGCGGCGATGCGCTCGCGCGGTAGCCGCTGGACGCCGTGCAAAGCCTCCACGAGTGACGCAATGGTGAGCCGCGAGGACTCCATGTCCATTGAGCTGTGGTGCAGCCAATTCGACGGTCTCTGACAAGGATAGTGGCCTCCGGCGCGAGCGACGCGGCATGGATGGCAGGCAAGGTGGAGCCGGGGAAGGCGTCCCACTCTGGATGGTCTCCGCCGTCAGCGCGCGGCTCCTTGTGTGGACATGGCACGCCGTCTTCACCTCCTGTCGCGCCTCCTGTGAGATCTCGGCATGCTCACACCTGCCTCGTCATCGCGTCCGGCTGCTGCGACCACCAAGTCCTGGTTGAGACGCCAGCCTCTTGTTGGCGCATGCGAAGTGTTCGGCAGAATGTCCAGCCCAGTGGGGACTTTTCCGTCTCGCCGCTTAGGTAAACCGCCATGAGAAACCGCTAAACAGGACTCGGGAGCTGATTTATTTGATTTGTGGTAGTTGAGGGGATTAAGATCCTGGTTTTTTACTTGGGGTTATCTAGGCTTTATCTAGGCTTGGGGTTATCTAAGAAAAACCATGATCGGTATGTAACCTGTAGGCTACAAAACACCCTTGGCTACGCTAGTCATTATCTGAAACATGGTTCTGAATCTCTTACAGAAATTAATTAGTACAGCTCTTTTAACCTTTCTGGAATGGTTCTACATTCATCAATACAGTTCTTTTAACCTTTCTGGAATGGGTCCTGTATTTCGCCTAGGACTTCTATTTTACAACTTGGCAATTGGCATTGCACTCTGAGCTATGTTCTTTATGTGGATGCCCTTTTCGAAACTATCCTGCATGGTGATTTGGTTCTAGATTTTAAGCAACTTTCTTTATTTGAAGGTTCGGTCGGGTGCTAGGGCATGCTACAGGATATTCTCCAGAATTTGGCCTGAACGTTCTCATCAGCTCTTCTCATCATTTGAACCATCAAGGCAGAAAGTATATATATTCTCAAATTTATATTACATATTTGCCTATTTGGTCATACGTTTTGACTCTATGATATTAAATTTTGTAGATGATAATTGATGATGATGCTGAGACCTATCACAAGCAGTTGTCTCCAATAGAAGGAATTAAGCTCGGGCAACCTCAATCTGTTCCTTGCATTCCAACTGCAATGGACAAGGTTGTCATGGTCGATTCTCAGACATCACTGTCTTCTGGAGACCTGCAAGCAGCACTGGTGAAAACATCTCTTCAGCATTCTCATATGACCCCTCAAATTCTAGCGGAAGATAGTAAAGATGGTTTAGCTATTGGAAGCTCATTTGAGGATATGAGCACATTAGAAGAAGAAAGAATTCCAGTTCCAGACCCTGATGAACGCGTTTCAGGTATATGTCATCAGAAAATACCTTGCTATTTCTTCTTTTCTCAGTTTGGACCACTCTGTTTTATTGGCCAACTTGTTGAATTCAGACCAAAATGCAGGTATCGGTTCATCACCCCGTGATTTTCTCCCTGCCACTCCATTTGAACCAACTCCAGACATTTTATTGTCAGAAGCAACTGTCATAGCAACTTTCCAAGACAAGGCCGAGTGCAAGCCGGAGGTTGAACATATAACTTCTTGTAAAGTTCAAGCATCAGGGGATCCTTCTGAGATGTTGAGCCGCACTCCTGCTAGTTCGGAAGAGTCAGGAAACTTGCTAAACCAAAGGCCCACTAAATCAAGCTCTAATGGAATATCAGGTGGAAGATTAAGGACCCAACAAGAAGAGAGGCCTTGTGTCAGAACTCCTCGAAAAAGTGTAGTTCCGAAGCAGTCACCGAATAACCACACTCCGAACTTCCGGCGACCTCTCCTGAGTAAGGTGATGACAAACTGGTTCTATGCCAGTACAAGAGGTGATTTAGATGGTAAACAGCTGATTATTGGTGAAATGGCCAATAGCATGGATGTGCCCTCATCTCTCACTGGGGCACTTTCTTTAGGCCTTAACCCCAAGTCAGATTGGATGATGAGGGTATATGCATTCAATTTCTTGCGCCAACACTTGCAAGAGCGAGGACCAAAAGGCATTCAGGAGGTTGCACAAAATTTTGAGAAGGTTATGAGGCTTGTTAGTCAGTATTTGGATGATCCACACCATAAAGTGGCACATGCTGCTCTCTCATCACTTGCTGAGATCATGCCGGTTTTCAAGAAGCCTTTTGAACATTATCTGGACAAGATGTTGCCCCATGTTTTCTCTCGATTAAATGATCCAAAGGAGTCAACCAAGCAGCAGTGCTTAGCAGTTTTGAAACTTGCAGGTGAGAGTTACTCCATTGATTCTCTCTTACCTGCTCTGCTTCGTTCGCTAGACGAGCAAAAATCCCCCAAGTCAAAGCTTGCAATTCTTGACTTTGCAAAGGCCTCTTTTGTGAAATGCACAGTTAATTCTGACATCTATTCTGGTAGCAGTTTTCTTAAGCCGTGGCTTGGGAAGCTAACTCTTCTGTTTAAGGATAGAAACAAGAAGCTAAAAGAGGCTGCCGTGGTTGGTTTATCTTCAGTCTATTGTCATTATGATCCGGAAACCGTGTTAAGCTTTATAGTTACCTTGTCAATGGAAGAACAGAAGCAACTTACGCGGGCAATAAAGCAGTTGATCCCTATGATAGGGACCGACCTGGAAGAGTTCTTGCAGCAAAGGAGACATAAACAGAAAGTGCCGTCTTTTGATCGCTTTGCTGCTACAGATCCTCATCCCAGAAGTTATGTTGGAAGGCAACATAAATCCCAGCAGCATGACTCATATCAATCCAATGATGTCAGAGGTGATCAAGTATTTAGCTCCGCATTCCAATATCTCCCAAATATTCAGTCGGAAGTCTTTGGGCGTCATACCGCGAAGGTTCAATCTGAATTGGGTAGTGAATCTTATGGTCACAGAGCTGAAATGATGGGTAAAAAGTTTAGTCCTGCAAGGCGAAGCAAGGATATGATGATGAATGCTAGTCAGAGTTCCCAGATGTATCATCAGGTTTGTAACTATTTGATTGACCTGTTTGGTGTTACTCCATTATTTTTAAGCTTCTTTCCATATCGACTACAGTTATAGCGCGTACATGTAGTGCCGTCTGAGGATTCTTTTAGGTAGTTACCTAACAAACAGATATTGTTTTCCGATAAACAGGACGCGAGGAGTGTTTCTGTAACGAATGGTCATTCAGCGCCAATCAAGGTTTGGCTGATCTATTTGTATCGCCTTATTTACTTTTTATCTTAATAAGGGGTATTCCACTCCTAGGTTTGTTGGTTCTGATGTCACCTCATACTTATTCCTTTCTCAGAATTTACATCATATGTCCTCTCTCCTTGAGATGCTTGATGACCCAACTGAATCCACCAGGGAGCTTGCACTTTCTCTATTGGTTGGAATTCTCGAAAAGCAAGTAAGAGTTTCTTTTTTTGGTGGGAACATAATTTTTTTTCTGAACTACTACTAAATAGTGCGTATTTGTGCCATTGATGTACCTTCCATGGAAATGACCTCTGCTATGGCCATGTGTTCCAGGAAAAGGCATTGGAGAACTGTATCGAGACTCTTGTAGTTAAATTGCTACATGCAACCAAAGATTCTGCCTTGAAGGTACTACTACACTGGGGTACTCTTCTAGGATTTGCATTGTCTCAACCATAAAGTTGCTCTCTCATGCCTTTTGTGTCATTGTCATTGCAGGTAGTAAATCTGGCGCATATCTGTCTGACAACCGTGGTTACTCAATTTGATCCACTGGGATGCCTTCCGGTAAGATTCTTTCATATTATGTTCTTGGCTCTATGAATTCTCTGAAGACTTTAATTGATATAGATGAATTGGAGAACTTGTTGCTGTTCCTTTTTCTTTTTCCCTTTTTCACAGCCGTTGGAATCTTATCTTCTTTTTAGGGGTCTTACCTTTCTCATTTAAATACACAGGCAATTGCTTCTCAGTTGGTCTCCCATGATGAAAAAATCCTTATTGTCAGCATCAACAGTTTGAGCAAGGTAAATCCCTCCAAAGTTATACAGTTGATGTACTTACTATGAAATAGTGTGTGGTCACATGGTCTGATCTCGGTACTGGCATCAAAAATGAAAATTTGGATAACGAGGAGTACATCTCTCAGACTCTGAAAGTCCGAATGTTAGGATGCACACAGCCAAGTGTTAGCATCAATAGCTGTAGCGTTTTACCCCAGCAGATTACATGGTGGTTAATCTCGCGTTTAATCCAGCCCATTTCGCTAGCAGCAACATATATATTTTTGACTTGTTACTGTACTACTTTTTCCTTACTGCGAACTTTTCCCTTCCTCTCTGGTTTTGCAGCTTGTGATGCGGCTGTCACACGACGACCTGATGGCTCATTTGCCGACATTTCTACCCAGGCTTTTGGACGCCTTTGAAAACCACAGCCCGTATGTTCGCAAGGTTCGTTCATTCCCACTTACTTTTGTTGATTGTTTTTAGATAATCTTCTATTTTCTGGCAAACACAGCATGTTCTTGCTGAATCATATTAATCTTGAATAAACCTGTGCTGCATATATTACTGCAGGCTATTTTGTTGTGCCTGGTGGACACGTACCTGAAGCTGGGGACGGCGGTGGCGCCACACCTGGAGCGGCTGGGTGGCGCACAGCTGCTGCAGCTCGTCGTGGCCACGTCGGCGAGCAGACTTTCGAGGGCGAACATCTGATGGTTCAAGGCATGATGGAAGGCGTGTAGGTGCAGCTACATCTCTTGTGATTCACTCAATGTAAACATCTATAATAAGTACAATGCTGCCTTAAAGGTTTCAGAAAAAGAAACCAACGGAAAAAGCTGACCTGTTCCTTCCCAGGTCGCTCTCACTTGCTCAATCCCCTGTTTTTGGCAGCCAGGGAGCAGAGCAACTCTGTTTCGCTCTTCATAACGAAACCAAACAGAGGTCACTTGTGCCATTGGTTTTTTCTTTTGAGGAAAGGGCTAACCCAGCAATTTTCGCTTCTCTTGCACAGCCCATACTGTGTAGAAACATGCCCAACAACACTCACCGGTGTAGATCATTCACTTGCTAAGAGAGCTTTCTGCCGTAGATCCTCTTCTAGATGCAACTTTCTATGCAGCAAAGCCTCTGCCTCTCTGGATGTAATTCTAGATTGGCCTTGGAGGCCATCTCTTTCCCCAAGGGGAAATTACTGTCTTGGATGCTGAATAATAAAATTTAGCCCTCCTTGAGGGCTCATGTTTGCAAAAAAAAAAAAACACTCACAGGTGTGAGTCAGTCATACAGTTAACTGCCCCTTCCATTTCTCAAAAACTTAAATCAATTGTTTCTCGAAAAACAAAAGTTCTTTCCTTTTTTTTTCTGTTTTGGTCTTGCTGCTTGAGATTTGATCGACTGTAACAGGAGCGACCTGATGACTCATTTGTGGTCATTTCTACCTGTGGTCTTGGACGCCTTCGGAAATCTGAAGTAGTCCATATGCTCGCAAGGTTTCATTCCTTCTCACTTACTTTCGTAGATTCTGTTTAAGACTAACCGATCATCTTCCATTTTCCTGTCAACACAACTACTCGGAGTACTTCTGTTTGATCTCCACGGAGTTGCTGAATCCCAAAAGCAATAGCTCATAGAAGCTTAAAATCTGGCAAAGATATCTGTCCCAGTTCTGTCTTGCAACCATCCAGGACTTATAAAGCATGAACCATATATAAACATCCAAACATTGTGCTATAATTCAAAAGCAGTCTGAAACTCAAGAACCTGTTCTGGACCTCACGTGTTCACGGCAAGTTCAGTAGTGGTTGCCCTATGTTGAGTAAATTGCATAAAACCACCACTTTAAGGGCTAGGTTTGCGAAAAACACTAGGATACATTTTCGCTGCAGAAAACACCGCATCTCGCGTAATGGTCTTGCAAAAACCACCGATCGGCGGATTTGGCTCTGTTAAGTGAGATTATGACAGATGGGCCTCTTTTTTGCCTACGTGGCGTAACATTTCATGCTAGATCAATTTTAGCCTAAATTTACAAACTAGTCCATATATTTTGCACAGACACTCCTAAATCAAATAGAAAAAAGCAATCAACTCCCTCCCCTTCTTCCCGTCTCCTTCCTCCCTCCGCTCTCTTCCTACGCCGGCGAGGGCCTGCAGCCGCCCACCAGAGCAAGCAGCGGTGGCGGAGCTCCAGCACCCCCATCGTATTCCCGCAACGGCCGCCGTCCTCCCAAGCTCGAGATCCATCTAGGGAGATGGGAGAATCAGTGCGGGATGGCATGGGTGGAGTAGTGCGGCGGTGGCCGGGCAGAGGCGGGCATGGCCGGGCAAGGAGGTGAGCGCAGCCGGCCAGGAGCGCGGGCGATTGGGAAGGAGGTGAGCGCAGCGGCATAGGGGCACGCGCGGCCGGCGTACTGCCGGAGCGCGAGCTTCGGCAGCCTCGTGGCGCGAGCTCCGGCCCAACGACGCCGACAACATGGTCGTCTACGGCGCCCTCCACGATGCCTTCTTCTGCGGCTAGCTCCCCGACGACTCCTTCGTGGCCGTCAAGCTCGAGCCCATGCACCACAGCATGGCTTGCCCTCGAAGCAGAGAGGACGAAGCAGAGGAAGTCGGCGGCCAGCGACGCTGGCCCGCGGCGGGTGCGAAGCGACGGAACGAGCAGGGACGGCGGGGAATGGAGCGGCGACGGGGCAACGGCTCCGGCGTGCTGCTCGTCGGCGGGAGGCAGGGTCGCAGGAAACGAGGCGAGGCAGGTCGGTGATGCAGCAGGAGAGGCAGATCCCGATCTGAATCGGGGAGGGTGTTTTCACTTTTTGGCAAAAGTGTTGGGGATGTTTTTGATGCCGTCTTTGATAAAACGCTATGCCACATCAGCAAATTAGGGGCCCATCTGTCATAAACGCACTTAACTGAGCCAGATCCGTCAATCAGTAGTTTTTGCAAAAAGATTACATAAGACATGGTGCAATTTGTCAAGAAACTGTAACCTAGTGTTTTCTGAAAACCTAGCCCTTGAAGTGGTGGTTTTTTGCAATTTACTCCCCTATGTTGGCTACGATTTGCATGTGAACATTTTTTTTCTTTTTTGCAAGACAATGGAAAATAGCTGGGATTGATGTTGAGCATCTCCCAGCAGCGCAACTCGACATGTCCATGATATATCATTCTGGCATTTCAACGATACATACACCAGATACCAAAGCCCTGTCTGTCCATCCACCCTTCGCATCTCGCCTCAGATCGTTGACTGTACTGTAATGCACCCCATGCGTCCACCCTTCGCATTTCGCCACTCACTCACACATGATGAAATACTCAGATCCCACGTACATGTATATATGTGCTGTCGAAGAACTGGGGGATCTGACCGTCCGTTTACCCTCCCCATCCATGCATCTATGCACGTGCTAGCTCCTGCTGGGTTTATGATCAAGCCAGTGTTTCTTTGCTGACCAGTCGAAAAGAATGAAAGAATGAGTTCTGGCTGACTGCTGAGTAAACGGCTGTGCATAAAAGAATGTGTTTTTCTCCTTTCACTGTGAAGAAAGGAGGTGGGTTAGATTAGCGTTGGATTTGGTGTCAGGTTGGTAAACGGCAGCAGCAGAGCTGCCTGTTGCGATGTCTCTCATGCTATCACTCAATCAATTCCATCACAAGTGAAACCACTGCCAAGTGCCGAATAGATGCAGTGATGGATAGGATATATATGATACTTCCCGCCGAATAACTTTTCCTACTGTACATGTACATCCCAAATCTTACACTACGTTTAAATCTCTAAGACTGTAACCAGGTAGGTGCAGCAGTTCACGCTACAGTAGAAAGTTCAGAATCATGTACATAGGATTAACAAAACAATACTGTACTATAACTCGGAAACCTGACTGTCTCAACTTAATAACTGAACAAATGGTCCATCAAATTAAGTTGGTACACGTACACAGAGTACTTGAGTACATACACAACAGCGAGAACTTAACTGATTCTTAACAATAGTAATCAATGCGAAAAAAACTGGATACAAGATTCACTGAAAACCAAATAGTACCATGCAGCAAAGCAACGACCACCACTTCTTCTTGGACACATTTATTTGAGCTTCCACACGCATGTTCCCGTCTGAAAGGCGAGAGGAGAACGTGCATCACCAAGTATTCCAATCACGCGACTGCCTTCAATCGAAGATCCCCTGAATAGATGAAGGGAGAACGTGTCACATCTGGGCGTAAGATGAAAGGTTGCCTACATAAAGTGTTGTAAGAAATTGTTGGTTATGATTAAATACCTCTTGCATTGGTAGTCAAATGTCATGATATAACAGTTCCCTGACAGCTAGCTCTATTCCTCGTCACTGTAGTTCTCTTCCTCGTCGGAGTTATAATATCTATCGTCCGTTCGGTCGTAGATAGATAACCTGGGATGATTGGGATGGCTATTTGCCTCCTTCCTTATAGCGGCAGCTGCAGCAGACTTGCTTTCAGAAGATGTGTCATCATCATTGCAAAGAGTAACTTGGGCATCTCTCAGACATGGGAGGTGGCCAAGACCCAAGTAGAACCCATGGACATCTGCCACCGAAACAAAGAACGGCAGCTCAAGCTTCTCCAGCTTTGGCAGCACCCTTCTTGAAATGTCAAGTAAATTGCACTTGCACAACGGAAAGTACGAATAAGGTTGAATTCCTTCAAACACGGGAATGCAGCGCCTTGCATGGTAAGCCTTTCTTTTTGGACAGTCCTGAATGTTATACTCAGGTGAAGTAAAGCAGGCATCTCTCCAAGTAGGCACAGATCCTCCTCTGTTGCTTCAATCAAATTAATGTCCAGGTATGCAAGATTGGTGAGTGCTGGTACAATCCACTTTGGCATCTTTGGTAAATAGTAGCCAGTGTTCACCCAAAATATTTGGAGATTATATGGCAGAGGGGACCAAGAATCCAAGAACTGGGTGGGTGCTGAATCAGGACAGAATATCCGTAATGACTGAAGTTTGCATGTGCCAAGCTTGCATAGTGAGGAGAGCAACATCTCTTCATGCCTCTTGTATTCCTGAGATCCTCGACCATCCAACTGTAGATGCACTTCTTTCAAACAGGCCAGATTCCCCAATCCCTCGACTGCACATAACGAACTCTTCATAATATTAAAGCCTGATATGACATGTAAATTCCTCATATTTCCAATACCATTTGGTATCTTTGTTTCACCGTAAGGATCACGGGAAAAGCATCTTGTAATGAGTAGATGTTGTAGCTTTACGAGCTGAATAATTCCAGTGGGCAATTCTTCTATATGTGTATTTCTAAGATCTAGTGTCTCTAGACCATATAGCCTCACAATTCCTGATGGTAGCTTTGACATGTCAGTACCCCTAAAGCTCAGGTACTTCAGCTGGAATAGTTTATCTAGACCATTCATATCATATTCATGCAAATTCTTACAATCTTGAAATTCTAGGACACGCAAAGCTTCAAACCCAACAAGCCTAGGCAATTGTTTGATGCAACTTGATGCTATAACTGTCAGAGATCGTATGTGGCTTAGATCTTCATTTGCCAATATGGATGCGAGCTCTTGGTCAATATGCTGGACTGATAGTCGCCGAATAAGACCATCACGCTTTGCCAAATCAGTTTGACCCTGGCCTGCCAAAGAGATGAAATTATTTTCAACCGATTTTGAAATAATGAGCTCGAGCATCATGTCATGGACTTGACAAGCACGAGCCTTTCCATCATAGCCAACTTCCACCGGTTGGACCATACTTCTGTTTATTAGCTCATAGAAATGGTTCTCGGCAACCTCTTGTTTGCTCTGTCCACGCTCTTCAGAGATGAAGCCTTCTGCTATCCATCGCCTCACCAAAATATCTCTCTCAATCACACAATCCTCAGGATATATACTTAAATATAACAAGCAGGTCTTAAGATTAGGTGAAAGGTCATTGTAGCTAAGTGATAGTATGTTATTCATTCCATCTAACCTTCGGTCTTTGTCCAATGCTGAACCAATAGACCTTCTGACCCTCTCCCACTCATCTTTGACCACCGGTTTGCTTGCCAATAAACTTGATATACTGATAATTGCAAGTGGGAGGCCTTGACATTTCTTCAGTATTTTGTTTGAAACTTGTTTTAGCACATCAGGGCAACGGACCTCGGAACCAAATATTCTTTTGAAAAACAATGTTTTGGACTGCAAATCACTTAGGGCTTCCATTTCATACATGCGGCCATTACCATCTAGAGAACACGATCTTGCTACATCAACAATGCGTGTAGTAGCTATAATTCTGCTAGAAAATTCATTCTCCGGGAAAGCATACTTGATAGCGTTCCATGCTGGTATCGACCATATATCATCAATAACAATGAGATACCTAATAGATATAAGTAGATACTGTTAATCAACTACGAAAAAGAGCTCAAGTACAAAACATGAAGATACCGGTGTCATGTCAAAAGAATTTAACCATATACAAAAAATACCATAGATTCTAAGAGGATGGCAATAAAAATACTCAAAAAGAAACAGTAAGTTAACCTTTATAACATATGCATCATATAAGGTGCCAGTACTCAACAAGTTAAGGTCTACCATGTGCCTATTGCTTATGTTGCCATCTATAGTTTGCTTACTTAACGAAGACTTTAGCCATAGTTGGAACTCAAAACTAACCAACTTAAGTTCAAAAAAGATCTCGGTTTAAAATGTTTGCCAAATTATCATACAAGCATCATTTTACTATACTTGTGTGAGTAAAAAAATGAATAGAACACTTGTTTGCACACTTAGAAGTCTTTTTTAATATAGTATACTCATGTTCGACAACATATGCGAATGTTATTCATGCGTTAAAGGATCACGAGAAATATTCCAAGTCCTTGAGTACAACACTGATGTTTAACCTCTATACATATGTGTTTGCAGTTTGATTCGTTTTCACTGCAGTATAATCAGGCTTGTTAAGGAATTATCCTAAATATATTTGTTAAAAAGGGGGGTTTGAAATTACCTCCTATGTTGTAAGAGTTCTTTTAGCTTCCCAATGCATATCGTTTCGTCCCAAGCGTCGATACCTTCTTTAAAATCTTTCTCACAAGGCAGTTGGGAGATCAGATCCTTCATAATTTTCTTTACATTTGGTATTTGCGAGACGGAGACAAAAGCCTGACAATGAAAATGCCCTTTGATCTTGTGGTAGACCTCCTTTGCGAGTGTTGTTTTTCCCAATCCACCGAAGCCAACAATTGACAGCACCTTGCGATGCTTGGTTGAGCTACTTTCATCTTCCAACATCCAACTAGCAAGATCATCTCTTGGACCCTCAATGCCCACAAGGTGTGCTTCCTCAACAAAAAGAGCAGACAAGCGGGGATCCACAACTGAATGTTCAAAGGGAACATTATCCAGCTTGTAACTACTTTTCAACTCTTTTACCTCCTTGAGACGAATTTTTAGATCTTCAATCTGGTTGGCGATTCCACGACGAGAGCCCAACGTCTTGAGCCGGCGAGCAGTCTTGCGGAAGAACTCCTTGAAGCCAGCCTGGTGCTGGCCGCCATTACCCAGCTGGTAGATGAACTTGTCGATGACATCCTCGATGTCATAGGTCAGCTCCCTCAGCAGCGATATCCACACCTTCACCTGGACATCAGGATCTTGCAGCGTCATGTACTTCTGAACCGCTGCATGCATGCTGGTCAGCTCGGATTTGAGCGACCGGATCTCGCGGCGGACGCCTTTCAAGCGGGCACACTCACCGGAAAGCAAACCGGCGAGCTTTCCCAACAGGGGACCCAGCACGCCATGGGAAGCGGTCACCACCTCCATTGATCTCTCTCTACTCCTCTCTCGAACCCGTCTCTTGCTTTGTGGTTGGTGTGTGGTCAGAGTGGAGAGAAGTGCAGGAAGAGGAGCGACTAATGTGGGTACATACTAGCTGCAAGATTCTGATGGAGTTTTTGTTTTAGTTTTGCCTAACCATGGTTGTGGCTGTGCCATGTGAAGGTAACCATGGGCCTGTCTACTTCACAACTGTGTAGGCCTTGTCGGGTATACAGCGAAATTATGCTGATGCAATTATTGTTAAGAGTCTCATTTAACCCAATGGCAGGCAGCACACACATGTAATGCTCATGTACATCAACTGCACATGGGTCACCTGCGTCACTCTTGTCATATCATAACTTTATGAAAAGCACAATGGCCCATATGCAAGTGACTCTTAACAAAAATGAAGGGTACTACATCTCAAAAAAAAAGATTTTCTCACACATTATCTCACCTCTTGTCATAATGACGTATCATAACTTTATGTCAACTCACGGAGAAAAGGCAAGTGGGGTAATTAAGCGAGTTGTCCTACTTTTTTTTAGAAAAGGATAATGACCCCGGCCTCTGCATCTGGAAGGAGCGAGCTGTCCTACTACCAGATGATTTGTCATTGGAGGCCAAGAAAAGAGTTGAACAAGCATTGAGCATGGGACTATCCAATGCTTGGACTTCGTGGGTGACTGGTTGTAGTGTACTAGCCGTCTAAGCTGTAAAAAGTTTCTTTTTTTTTTGCTCAAAAGCTGTTGCAAAGGTAACTTTGGTTTCAAGAAGTTATTGGAGGTGCATTTTGGCTTCCCGGATGAACAGTAGATGTAAACAAAAAAAAGCTGAAAGTTTGTGTAGATGTTCGTGTTAACCTTGCAAACATGCTTGACAGATATGCGAAACGGAGCAGCAGTGTTTCGTCGGTGAAAAAACAAAATTGGGATGACATTTTGGGGGTGACATTTGGTCTTTAATTTTATTTTATTTTTGCACAGGAAAAATGCTTAACCTTTTTGCCTCATAATTTTCAGGTAGCATTTGGATGTGACTAAGATAACATAAAACAAATTGTCTTGGTTTTTTTGACATTTGAAAAGAAAAAATTTGGCCCGGGAGCATGTGCTCCCGGAAGCCAAATTGAATTTCTGGAAGTTATTGTCTTTTAAACAACAAATTTAAGAAAATAGAGTGAGATTTATTTCTTTTGATTGACGCCTTGTGCAGTAAACGTGCTTCGGAGTCCCTATCCTGATTGATCACTCTTCTCCTTTTGATTGAGCCCTTCAAGTTCAGAAAATGCTTCACCCGTCGATCCATTTCCTCTTGCATGCTCATGAGCATCATCGTGTCCACTTCTTCGTCCGAATCCGGCAAATCAAAGAACTCAGCTTCAATCATTTTACCAAGCTCTGTCGGTCCATACTCCTCGTCCGACGAAGCATCGGAATTCATGGCTTTTCCACATATAAATCACAAAAAACCGGGTCAGACATTCTGTCGAACACATACTGAGGGGCAGCTCGAGAGTTGCCGGACGTACCGCGGTGGCGTCTGGGCCGGCGATGATATCCGCGGCGGTGAGCACGGGAGAGATGGCTGTTGTACCGGTCCTGGCGGCACAGACGCTCGGAACAGCTGTGGAGCAAGGGTGGCGGCAAAGCAGCGAGACGTCTGGCGCGGAGGAGGAAGAACAGAGAAGAAAGCAAATGGATCCGGTGGGTCAAGGGGGTGGATTTGATGCAATTTCTGATGCGGTAGGCCTATCGGGTTCGACGTTGCAGACGTGTCTGGGCTTCCATATATTTGGGCTGGATATGAGATGTTTGACTCGTGTACAATATTTTCTACTACAGTACTTAATCTTGGCTTCTCATTGAGCCGGGGCCAAACAATCAGCCTAGGCACAGCTAACTGGCTAGCTACGGTGAATGATGAGATGCATGGAGACGGAGGACTGAAGGTGGTGGATGGGTGGCTCGGTTCCACTAGGCAGCTAGCAGAGGAAGGAAACAGGGCAAAAACTGCCGGCAACCGGGCAGGAGCAGAGGAAGGAAGCAGAGCAACTGACGGAACTCGCCAATGACTGGCTGTTGCGAGGTTGCTCCTCGTGTTATCAGTCAGTTCCATCAGGCAACATTAGAGTATGCACGAGTACATATATACACCACTGCCAAGTGGGACCCGAGTAGATGCAGTTTTGGTTGCTCAATGGTGGGTACATACTACTTCCTGCTGAATCATTTTTCCTACTGCACGCCCCAAATCTCGCGCCCCGCTTTCATCTCTCAGACTGAAACCAGCTAGTAGGTGCAGCAGTTCAGAGCTTCCTCTGCCGTTTCCACGATTTTTTTGGTGGGCATAGAGTTTTTATTGTACCGCTCAAATTTTGCGGTTCGGCCATATTTTGAGCCCAGCTCATTCACGTACGCGACTCCTGTTCGTGGCTTGGTGCCGTCGGTCCCGATTAATTCCTCTGCCGCTGGTGCAAAGTTAGGATTTAAAGCAGTCTGAAACTCGGAATTTCGTCTGAAACCTCATCTGCTCACGGCAAGTTCAGTAGCGTGGCCTAGCGAGTGAGGCCCCTGTTCAGTACTTCAGTTCTGCTGACTGAAATTTGCATGGGAACATTGTCTGCAAGCAGCAGGTCATAGAAAGTGCACGTAAACTAGCTAGGATTGATGTTGTCATGTTGGTCATCTCAGAGTAGCACAACTCGACATGTCCAGGAACTGGTTCGGTAGCATTTCATCGATACATAAACTTGGAGTGTCCCCGGCCATGATCCACCCTCTGCATCTCGCCTCGGACCGTTGAACTCATGACCCGACCCTGCATCCTTTTTTTTGTTCAGCCTGAACTGTACTGCACCCCATGCGTGCAGCCTGTACTCATCATCAACTTTGTACTCGTTATAAAATAGTCAGTTTCCTTGTCGAGTGTGGCACGTCCCTGCGATGGTGGTTATAAGGTTATTCAACATAATCAGCCCACCCACTAGGTACTTAATTTGAGCGATGGGATGCATGGAGGTGGTCGATCGTTTCCACTAGGTAAGCAGCAGCATAGGAGCAGCCAGGTGCCGACTGCCGAGTATGATGCAGTTGGCCAGAAGTTCAATGCTGTATACTTCCTGACACCCCCCTCTTAAATCAGCTAGGTGCAGCAGTTTAGGGTACAGCAGTTCAAGCTACAGTAGAAGAGTTCAGAGTATTGGAGTGACAACACAACGTTTCAACTCTGAAATATGAGATCAAACTTGTAGAAAGCTGTTTCAACTTAACTTAATGAATGGTCCATCAAACTAAGTTACACAAAGTACACATATAATAGGGAAACTTCACCTGGAGGTGAACTTAATAGTGATTCTTAACAATAGTAATCAATGCAACAAATTCTGATAATACAAGATTCCCTGAAAACCAAATAGTACCATGGAGCAGAGTAACTATCACCACCTCTTCTGTGACGTCTTCAGTATTCACGCATCACCACAACATTCCAATCAAGCCAACAGCACACCATCACGGACTTGCGTTTAACAGAAAGATCCCCTGAATAGATGAAGGGGGAACATGTCACATCTAAACGTGAGAAAGGCTGCATACTGAAAGTGTTGTCCCAAAAGGGGTCCTCCAAAGATTGGACTATTTTCGATCCAGATTCTTTTGGCAGGGAGACGGTGAAAAGAAAAAATATAGGCTGGCAAAATGGAGCGTGGTTTGTAGGCCGAAAGACCAAGGTGGCTTTGGAATTCATGACCTGCAGGTCAAAAATGAGGCCCTACTTAGTAAATGATTGTTCAAACTTCTTACTGAGGATGGTGTTTGGCAAACCATATTGCGCAACAAGTATCTAGGCCAAAAGGCGGTGTCTCAGGCTTATTGGAAACCTGGTGACTCACACTTTTGGGCTGGCCTAATGGTGGCAAAGAAACATCTTTTTCGCTTTGGGTCTTTCGAGATAAAGGATGGGTCAGAGGTTCGTTTCTGGGAAGACATATGGCTAGGCAATGCCAGTCTCCGAAAGCAATACCCAGCCTTATACGCCATTGCTCGCGATAAGAGTAATACTATTGCGCAAGTGCTTAGTTCATCCCCGCCGAATATTTCGTTCAGGCGGGATTTGATTGGCCCCCGACTTTTGTCATGGCATAATCTTTTATCCCGTCTGGATTCGATTAATCTGACACAAGGTCGGGATGTGTTTCACTGGAAACTGACAACATCAGGGTCTTACACAGTAGACTCGATGTACCGTGCGCTTATGCATTCCGAGGTGCCAGTGAATAATAACAAGAAAATCTGGAAGTCAAAGATTCCACTAAAAGTTAGAATCTTTATGTGGTATCTTCATAAAGGAGTTGTGCTAATCAAAGACAATCTTGCACGGCGCAACTGGCCAGGAAGTAAGAAGTGTTGCTTTTGTGCTCATGACGAGACAATCAAACACCTTTTTTTCCAATGCAAGTTTGCACGGTCTACATGGTCAGTCATCCAAATAGCGTCAAATTTGTATCCGCCAACGAGTATTGCCAATATATTTGGTCATTGGTTGGACAGAATTTCAAATAGTTTTAAAACGCTAATAAAGGTGGGGGCGTATGCCTTACTATGGTCGCTTTGGCTATGTAGAAATGATTTATTTTTAATGACAAAAATGCTTCTCCTCTGCAGGTTATTTTTCGTTGTACGCACTCGCTTCGTACGTGGTCTACGCTACAACAGGCGGAGCACCAACCGCTGTTCAAGGCGGTGTGTACGTGGTTGGAGCAGGCGGCTATGGAGGTTTTTTCCCAACATGGGTGGCAGCATAACCTCCGGATCGATCCACTGCCGAGTTCGACATGGGCAAAGTGTCGGTCCATAGGACTCTACTGTTGCCGTATTGTCGGTTTTCTTACTTTTTCTAGTATCAGACTTTGGTGTTTGGCTGTGTGCATTCTAGTTATGCAGAGGCCGGGTGTTACTCATAATGTTTTGTATCCGCTTGATGCTACATTTGAGATAATAAAA